TATTTAAAATATTCTGATAAAAATATGCTGTTCCATCCATCATGACACCATGTACTAGATCATCCCATTTATGGTTCAGGATATATGATCTACTGATTCTTCAGTTCTACATTTAAAATAAGCAGCAACATGTACAACACACTATTATGCATTTATGTGCTAACTCTTAAGTCTATGTAAACAGTGACAAACTTCATAGACAATAAAAATTTCCCATAAATAAACCAATCTATGATGTCTATAAAATTTCTTTGATTTTGTGGCCTTCAATCTACCTGTAGATGAACAATCAGCTCTTAATAATCAATAGTAAATTATGTACTGGATATTGTTAACCTATACTGAACCATTAAGTGTACTGGAAAACAATATTTGAGATATGATTTAAGTGACAGAATAAAGAAATAAAGAGCTAAAGCTGAGGCTGAGCCTTAAATTAATCTATGCCTTTTGGGAAGCAGTCAAAAGATCACCTACGGCCCCTACATTATATAGGTTCATTAGTGACTTCCTTCCTAAGTTTAAACTTATTGTTATTACTGCAATATGCTTTTTGTTAATTCAGTTTTTGTATTCCTTTCTAATAAAAGAGGAGATTAATGGAAAATGGAAGAAAAGTGAGACAACAGATTCTCCAGAGTTTTACAGGAAAGAGCTTGTTACTCTAAAAAGGGAAAGAAACATTTCTTGGACATACTGATACTGCTGTTTTATTTGCAATGTATTTTCATCCAGGAATTATCCAAGTCCCCTTAGAAACCTACAACAGAGCTAGCAGATATTTTTAGATGATCTAGTAAGAATCTAGCTTTTCAGGCTACTTGTCCGTACTTGTATTTTACCTTGAAGACATCCTATTTTTTTATATAAGGTGAAAGAAAAGAAATTCACTCAAATCCAGGACTCAGAGTTTCAGACATCTGATAACTTATGACCCTAAAAAATGACTTTAGAGAAGATCTCCTGACCACCTCTCTCCCAAAAAAGACTAGGACAAGATAGGGACTTTCGAGAAGATTTTTAGTAACAGACATTACCTGATAAAAATTTAATAACAAGTGTCTTGTGAAACAAAATACATCTGCCACCTTTGCTTCATTAACATAATTACTACTCCTAATAGAAAAGAGAACTGACATCAATTAGGACTTTATTTATTTTACTTTGGAGTAGGTATATCACATTCTGTATTTTTAGTTTCCTCACCTATAAAATATTATATAATAATTATGATTTGTTTGTTTGTTTTTTAGATGGAGTTTCACTCTTGTTGCCCAGGCTGGAGTGCAGTGGCACGATCTCAGCTCATTGCAACCCTCACCTCTTGGGTTGAAGCAATTCTCCAGCCTCAGCCTCCCGAGTAGCTGGGATTACAGGCATGTGCCACTACGCCTGGCTAATTTTGTATTTTTAGTAGAGACAGGGTTCTCCACATTGGTCAGGCTGGTCTCAAACTCCCAACCTCAGGTGATCCACCTGCTTCGGGCTCCCAAAGTACTGGGATTACAGGTATGAGCCAACGTGCCTGGCCAATAATTACGATTTTTATCAACTCAGTCTGAAGTAGTTCAGAAAAAAGTCACTACATAAATACCAGAAACTATACATCATTTATAGATTACTGCATTATACAACTATATTACTCTGTATATTGTACTGTACAGTTTTGCTCTTTGTATTCATAGCCATTACAACCTCCTCACAACTTCTATTGGAATTTTAATAACACCTGAAAAATAAGAATAGATGATATGCAAGAATAATATGAAAAATGTTGCCATGAGTAAAATAAAACAGAAAAATTTTCATGTAAATTTCCAAACATAACTAACATGTATATTAATGAACCTACTCACTAAGAATTCAGGCAAGATTTTTCTTAACTACAGATGTAATCACTGGTAACCCAGCAATGACTACTTCATGGCCAAGTGGAAGAGATGGAAAGCTGATCACTTCTGCAGTATAGATCCTTCGATAGTTCTTTTTTTTTTTTTTTTTTTTTTTCTTTTAGACCAAGTGTCCCGCTGTAGCCCAGGCTGGATTGGAGTGCAGTGGCACGATCTTGGCTCACTGCAACCTCCACTTCCCAGGTTCAAGTGATTCCCCTGCCTCAGCCTCCTGAGTAGCTGGAAGGCGCGCGTCAACACACCGGCTAATTTTTGTACTTTTAGTACAGATGAGGTTTCACCATGTTAGCCAGGACGGTCTCGATTTCCTGACCTCATGATCCACCCACCTCGGCCTCCCAAAGTGCTGGGATTACAGGGTGAGCCACCACGCCCAGCCCATTCTGTAGTTCTTTAAAATCTTTCCTGACATCATGAGAGATCTGCTAGTTGAAAGAGGAATCATTTCATGATTTTTCAATACCAGATGTATCCCCTCTCAAAAATTCCAAAGTGTTCTCCTAAGTCTACAGCAAGTGTATTTAGTGTTCATTTCAGCATGCTATACTCAGACAGCTACCTAAATCAGGGCTGGTTTGTTTTTCCCTTCAGCTACCATCTGAAATATGATTTGCTTACCCACTGGACTCTGAACTTTGAAACCACTATTGTTTTCCAAAGTAGTATTTAGAATTGTTTAAAACTTTAGGGATTCACCAGATATAAACCAGTGTAGGTTTGTGTAAACTGATACAAGTTCAGAGGTGGGAGTGATTGTAAAGAATCAGTTATGACTCAATATACTTTGTTAGTAACATATAGCACTTAAAAAAATAACACAAGCATTTTCATATGAATCTAGGGAAACCATTATTTTGCTACAAATCAAAGTGAAAAGGATTCATGATAAAATACTTAAAATTGTATAGGTTTGTAAGATGCTAATGTCTTTCTCAGTTCTCCAATTTTATTTTGTACCATTACAGAAGTATTTATAAACAAAACATATTAAGACACAGTAGCTCACGCCGGTAATCCCAACACTTTGGGAGGCCGAGGCAGGCTGATCACTTGAGGTCAGGAGTTCAAGATCAGCCTGGCCAACATGGTGAAACCCCATCTCTACTAAAAATACAAAACAGCCAGGTGTGGTGGCACATGCCGGTAATCCCAGCTACTCAGAGGCTGAGGTGAGAGACTCTCTTGAACCCAAGAGGTGGAGGTTGTAGTGAGCCAAAATTGTGCCACTGCACTCCAGCTTGGGTGACAGAGCAAAACTCCATCTCAAATAAAAAGAATGTAAAAGCAGAATATCAGGAACATAAAGTAAAAATATGTAATTTTGTATTGTTCATCTCATTTCAAATCAATTAGTCTGAACTGAATTAGATATATAGATATAGCAAGAAGAATTAAGTCAAATTTTTATTAATTTATTTGAGAGAGAAAAAGACTGTATCCTGTAGCCATAGATTCTACAAAACTGATAATATAAATTATCTAATGTAGAAATTTGCAGGTGGAGTTAAAATCCAGTTTCCAATAGAAACCAAAAATATAGATTATTTCACTTGCTAACAAAGAAATGAGAGACATGGATATGAATAATCTAACAGAAATTTTCTAAGTGCATTTGGTCATGAATTTCAATGTATTAATCCGTAAGTATATATAGAAAGACTATGGTTAAAGTTTGACTGACTTTTATTGAAACAAACAACCTAAGAACAAAAGAAACTAGAACCATACAAAATAAGATTAAGGATAAGCCAAAGTTTTACACAAGGTTCTACATATCCATATAATCACACACAATCTTTAAATCTAGTGCAGAAATATGCTGCTAAAGCCTAACAAGAATAATAATAATACACTTGTCATCCAAGAGATATTTAAGAAAACACTTCCCTTTATTCTGTACCCAAAGAGGATACATACAGTACAATGATACAGTACAATACCACCCTAATACTTAATTATTATTATTTCTAAAACAGGATTTAAAAGATTATTTGCATAAAAATAGAAATCAGGTGGGGCATGGTGGCTCACGCCTATAATCCTAGCTCTTTGGGAGGCCAAGGTGGGTGGATCACTTGAGGCCAGGAGTTTGAGACCAGCCTGGCCAAAATGGCAAAATCCCGTCTCCACTAAAAATACAAAAATTAGCTAGGCATGATGGTGCACACCTGTATTCCCAGCTACTCAGGAGGCTGAGGCAGGAGAATCGCTTGAACCCAGGAGACAGAGGTTGCAGTGAGCCAAGAGCACCCCTGAATTTCAGCCTGGGTGACAGAGCAAGACTGTCTCAAAAAAAAAAAAAAAAAAAAAAAAAGGAAAAAGAAAAAGAAAAAGAAATCAAGCTTTCAACTTATTTTTTAAATCTGAATTTTTTTGGTAAGCAATTTGATATATTAACCCATTTTTTCATTCACTATGCTTATATTATGTTCTTAATATGAACATGTCCACTAAAATCTTGCTCTGTGAAACTTAAAAAGAATTTGTATTCATTTTCTGATGTAGACACTGTGACTTCTTTTTAAGGCAGACATGCAGAGTAAATTATGATGCCTACATTTTTTTCTTCCATAGCAATTTTCCTTGTTTCACTACTTGAGCTAATGTCATCTTGTTCCTGCTTGGTTGTGGTGTTGGAATGTGGGCAGTGGATGAAGCAACATGAAGTGACTTCGTACTATCAAGTATGAATAAAAGCAAAGCCGTCTAGCTAATGTAAAAATTTCCTTTAGCTCAATTATAAGAGTATCAGAAAAGTGGCATGTAGAGGGATTTTAAAGCCATAATATTTCAAAAGACGAAATAAAGTTGGCATCATAAATTTAAGATTTAAAGAAAAAACACATTAAGAATTACTAAAATTCTACCTGCATCCCTCACAAGAAATCTGTAATGTGCTTAACTTAGGATTATTGAAACATTTAGAAAAAATATTATAAATATGATATCAGAAAAACTGCAGTGTCAAAAGCTATATTTAAATTAAAGATATTGCTAGAGGGAAATGACATTCATCATAATTCTATCTTAACATCTGTGTCATGGAAGAACACATATAAATGATGAAACATAAGGATGAAGACTTCTTACCCCATATTTACATTGGCGGGAGGTTGCTCCATACTGGAAACGACATTGCTCATCAGCATCATACACCTGACCTGGGGCCACAGCTGGATAAAGAAAGTCACGCTTGGGAGGCTCATTATCAAGGCAAGTACCACGGCCTGAACTGTTCAACATAAAGGATCAAAGGAAATTAGGTACTCTATGGACTATTTCAGGCACAATTATGAAACCATGTGTTGAGCTTTGTTTTAATAACTTGATGCATGAAAAACAATACATTCTCCCAATAAATAATCACATGACAGAACAGAATAGCTTTACTGAAACCTGAATAAGAGCTCCAAATAATTCATTTCAGCACCAAGACACAATAAAATCATTTCAGACAACAATCTGAAAATGTCATGTTGGCCTTGATTTAAACTAATTTCTCAAGGAATCAAAACAGAATTTCATATTGCTCTAAGCTTCTTGTTTGTTTTCATTCAAAATATAACCACATCTGGTAGTAGAATTAAAAACATGAAATGCAGAAAATTTTTAAAAAATAATTATGGTTATAATCCTTAAAGACCTAATTTATATAGTTCCACCTTGGGCAGAACAATAGATGTTGTGTTAAGGCATGTCCATAGGTTCTTGAAATATTTCACTAATAAATGGGTTGAATGACAGATGAGGCCAAGGACCAAAGTTTTCCTCTCAAATATATTAGAAGTGTTTAGTCTCTCAAAAATTTCATATTTCATCTAGGATCATCAGAATTGGAAAAGAGAATGTTCTCTTCTTTGTATAATTTCTACGTTTCAAGCTATGCCTGCACTCAAACATAATATTTTAATTCAGTGGAACAAATAACATAAAGGTCGCCAAAACCCAGACAGAATACCTTAGTTTAAAAAGCTTTAAACTTTGCTAAATATAATTGCTCATTTTTATTTAGTCAGTGTGCATAAAATAGGACAGATGCTTTTTTACTTTCATTTCACATGTGAGTAAGTTAGAATTTTTAAAGAATTCCTATGCCAACATTTAAAAATTTTTTCCAACATTCCTGTCCATTGTGCCAGCACTTGTGTTTTGTTTTTTTTTTCCCAAATCTTTTCCATCCACTTTGCCAAAGGAAAATAATTTCACAAGTAGAAGTTCCTCAACTGTTATTTAGGACAGTACAATTTTTCATTTATAGATAACTAAGAAAGAACTATGCATAACAATCACTTTCCTATTCACTTAAAAGTTTCTTATATTCTTAACATGTCAAAGTCAATTTGTTATATAAAAAGGTATGTTCCCACACAGCAGCAAATTAATACCTTTTAAAAACTGAACCATACTATTCCTAAGGTGATATAGAGTTAAAGATGAAAGAGACAGACTACTGTCTTCTTTATATCCTTCTCCTTTCATTCATGCCCTCCTAATTTTTTAATCAATAAGAAATATTTAGATGGAATATTAAGTATGGTACTAATACAGATGGATTTTACCATTGGCTACTACAATCATTTCGTTTGTCACTGCTCAAGGTATCTAACTAAAAAAGAACAATCTTTTTTCACCCAGCTATCCAGTTTTCATAACAGAACACTTTTTTATTTCCTTTTTATTATACTTTTAGAAATTAACATGTACCTCAGCAAGAAAAATTACCTCTAGATGAATTTTTTAAATAGAATGCTTTTTTGGTTTTATTAAGTAATATATCTTTAATCTATATGGATATGCAAACTTTAGGCAAATGTAATGCTACTAGTAAATTTTAAATTATATATTAAGGTTAATGACAAAGAGGTCATATTTGAATAGTATAATGGGAAAAGAACCATTTTGATAATATGGATATTGGTGAGATAACTGAATTAGTAGTTTAATTCCCCAACTTTCTTCTAAAATATCTGTTTCATTTCTATTGACAATAAAATTATAAACACCTTTATGAAAGGAATTAAATATGTAATAAAAATAAAATAACAAGTTACGCACTACTATAAATATTTTTTATAGAAAATATTTATTTTAAATTGTGTACTGGAGTAGGTATCCAATAGGCAAAAAATATTTACAATGACATAATCAAAAAAGTGTAGGATATATTCACCTAAGTGACACCAGCTTTTGGTGACACCAACTTATTTTATTTAAATTTTAAAATAATTACTTTTAGTAATACATAAAATTAACCCAGAATCAGAGAAAGAACTGTGTGGACTCCAAAGAAGAGTTTAAGAATAGATATCCTGAGGAAAAAATTCTTTTCTGATGGCAAATTGGAAACTGACTTAACCCAGCAGGAAGCAAGAATAATTGCTTCATCTAAAATTATTGTTTCAATATATTAATATTAGTGGGCTTCTAATCATGGTTCATGTTCTTTAAAAACTACCAAACCAGAGGACAACTGCAATGGCCTTCACACCACCAAGAATGCCATGAACTGCACACACCTGTGGTCAAAACTCTTCTAAGAAAGTTTATCCCAAACGTGTGTTTTTGTTTTAGTTCTTTGGAAGCACCTATTGCTTTGTATTAATGTAGTCTAGACAAGTCTTGTTCTCCTTTTCCAGTATATTTTTACAGAAGAATAAAACACCATATGAAATAAAACATAAAGGAAAACCATATGGATCTTTAAAAATGAACCAGTATTTAGAAACACGGAATAAACAAAGGACTTTTGAAATGGATTTGGTTATATTTGTACAAATTAGCAAGGCTTACAAGTCAAGTGTCTGCCAGTAAAGCAAATGTGGGGATATATCTGCAAGGTGGATTTAAATTGTCTGTACATTTCAATGCATGTTTACTACATGTGTAGTACATTTTCCTTCTAGTAACCATATCTGGTATATACAGTAAAACCTTGATTTAAATATTTGAGGGATGGGATCGTTTTCCTGTTTTAATTCTTTTATTTTGTTTTAAGATGGGGTCTCGCTGTGTCACCCAGGCTGGAGTGAAGTGACATGATCACACCTAACTTCAGCCTTGAACTACTGGGCTCAAGTGATCCTCCCACCTCAGTCTCCCGAGGAGCTAGGACCAGAGGCACGTGCCACCATGCCTGGCTAATTTTTGTATCTTTTGTAGATAGTGAGTCTCACCATCTTGCCCAGGCTGGTCTAGAACTCCTGGTCTCAAGAGATCCTCCTGCCTTAGCCTCCCAAAGTGCCGGGATTATAGGCATGAACCACTGCATCCGGCCTATATTTGAATTCTTAACTAAGGGTTAAGCAAGAAAAATGCTTTTTGCACTATGTTAACCAAAATTTGTCTGCTACTTTCCTGCTATGTTCAAGTAACTAAAGTCTATAGACAATAATTATTAGTTACTAATTAATTCTTAAAATAATTCTGGATATTTTCATGCCTCTGAGTCATCAATTACCATTATGAAATATTACAGATACAGGTACAGAGGTGGAAGACATAGATGCGAGCAATGTATATTTAACCCTGGGAGTGCTTTTCCTTATTTTTTTTTCCTATGAAAATTCTCAAGTGCTTTATTCCAGTAATAGCCCTCATTTCCCCCCACCCCCAAAGGTAACTACTATTCTGACTTTTTATAATAATAATTTCCTTGCTTTGCTTAATAATTTTACTGTCTAATTATTATTCATCTGCCTGTTTTGAGACTCTATATAAAAGTAGTCATACTGTGGGTAGTCTTTTGTGACTTTATTCTTTTGCTCAATATCGTGAATATGAGATACTTTTATGTTGATGTGTGTAAATGTAATTGTAGCCAGTTCATTTTTATTGTTCTTTAATATTCCACTTATAAGTATGTCACAATTATTTATAATTCCTCTACTAATAAATATCTGGGTTATTTCCAATTTCTAAGAATTGCAAATTATGCTGATATGAACACTTTTTGTATGTTCCCTGGTATAAATGTGTAAATCTATTAGGTTGGTGCAAAAGTAATTGTGGCTTTGCAATTACTTTAATGGTAAAAACCACAATTACTTTTGCGCCAACCTAACATCTCCTTTCATAAAATATTAGATATAAGTTGTTGTCTTATATTTTGTAATTATCTCGTTTTTTTAAAAAATTGAAATTTATGGGAAATTTTTATTTAATCTAGGGTTCTAGCTAATGGAGATATAACTATACAATTCTTACAATGTCCAGTGTTATTTATGCTACTATCAAAATTATAATAGTACTGTAGTGATACTATATACAAATCTTCTCATCAAATAATAATTTTAAACATAGATGGTTTGCATGTTGGTGTAATATGCAAATTTTTCCAGTCAGAAAACATGAACCTCACTCATTATCAAATGTAGAATAGTCTCCATCTATGATATGTAGTTACAACATTATTAAACATGTACTTGTCAGAGCAAAATTGTACATATAAAAAGTAGACCTGTGATTATTTTCCTAGCAGCATATAATCACAACTAAAAAGCCAAACCCTAGTTAATATCTACAGCAACACAGATAATTATTGAATTCCTAGCCTCTATTTTTGTTTATGCTTCTAAGACCAAGCAAAAAAATGCATTAGTTTCAGAATATACTTCTCCCTTGATTATGAAATTCATAGTAAATCAAAGTATATTTACATTTCCCAAAATGTTTGCAGCATGATGAGAAAGTCATATTTTATGAATTCTACTTCTAATTTAGAGAGGTCTTATTTGCATAGTCCAAAAATTAGCCTTGAATATAGGAATATGAGTTAGAGTTCGGTCTTCAGCAAAAATGTAGATTCCTATGTAAAATATGCATTCATGGCTTTGTTTCCAGAACACATTAGGATATACTCCTAATTGTGATTTTAGATGTATTTTCACTAAAACAGTTATACCATAAAATAGAAACTTTTAGTCCATAATACAGTGGGTCAATCTAAAAAATAAATCTTTCTCTATAACCCTGTACATATCTTAACAGTCTCTTAACAACAACAACAACAAAAAGTTAACACTTAATGCCACCTCCTATTTTTATTCCACTAAGTTGTGCTGATTCATAAATTAAGCAAAACAGAATTGGGTTGATATCATCTATAGTAAGTCAACCATCTTACATACTATATTCTCATAAACTGCTTTGTCAGTCTTCTCAATGAAGCTAACAACGTACTGCCTTCTAAGGCAAATCTTTCTCTCTCACCCTTAATATAACTGAGCTTGAAGCTTTCAAGACACAAATACCGTATTAAGAGTGGTTTACCCTTTTCCCCCTATATATAATTACGACTTATCAAAGTTATTATGATTAGAGCAAGGTTCCCCAAATGTATCAGATAAACAGAAGGAGGAGAAACCTGTTTTGCCAAGCTCTTAGATTCTACATTTATTTAAAAAGGTTTCATCTATAAAGATTGTTTTTTATATAGCAGCCTGATGTTGACTTTCGAAGGTCATTGCTAGAGAGGAAATGTGAGTGCTTTGGTCATCTTGCTCATCTTATATCACTTCTCTTGTAGCTCCACAGTCACCTTTCCTCCTAGGTCAACTCTGATCGTAACATTGCTTCTTTTAATACGTTCAGCTTCCATCCTTTCTGTGAAAATGTCTACTCTGTATTTAATTTGGAACTGTAGGAAATTTTGCTATGGATCTTTGAGAGTTCAAACAAGTTAACAGGCTTTAATTTTAATAGAGCAAGAGTTGATTCACAGAGCCCCCATAATTTTTGAAAACTATATGAAATTATTCTGTACTATTGCTAAGTGGTGGAAAATGTACGAAAAACTGGCTTAAATTACTTCTGGCTGTCTACCACTGCCTGGTAAATTAGCCCATAGTCATCAATGGGTGTGAGCCATAATACCAGGTTCACCTTTCTCTATATTCTAAATAAATAAATAAATCAGTCCCGCAGGCAGATAGGAAAGACACTACCTGCAAAGCCGTCGCCGGAAAACATCAGAAGCTGGCATAACACGTCCATTTTAACGGAAATGGGTTCTTTATTATTTAATCAGGACGGCTTCTGGGCGATTCATGAACCACTTATTGAATCACCGAGTTTAAGAAATCTGAAAAAAAATATTGGGAGTTGGTAAACTCCTGATTGATCAGTAGCACCTAGTGTTTTAGAATGACACGAGAGACTTTGTATTCTATTGGCCATGGAATCGTTTTCAGTTGAACATAGTGAATAGTGAATCTCTATAAATCATAGAAAGCTCATTGTTAAAATCCACCATCATCTTTGGCCTATACAGCTACTAAGTAGAGAAAGGTATGCGTTTTGTTGGCTGGGCTGCAGTTCCTAAACAATTCATCTTTCAAGATTCTTTTTCTTGAGAAGAGAAGCTAAAATAAAATGTTATGAGCCTTTTTGAGCCAACTATAAAACATAAATGTAACCTCAATCCCTGATCAAAATAGCACTGGATTTTAAAAAATATCACGCATAGCTGTTAAAGCAATTAAGTTCACTGCATTAATAAAAAGGAACAAAGAAATTCAAGAAAGTTACTGTTATGTCTTTGTGCTCTGGTGAACTGACCTTTTTAAAGAGCCTTGTGTTTAAAAACCCTTTATTGCTTGGTCAGATTATAATCAGATTTGTTTAGTTTTATTATTAAAGAGGAGGGAAAGCCAAGTTTTCCCCAAGTCTCTACCCATTGTGCTTCACATCTATCTTTCATTAATAGTTTTAACTTTGTGAGCATTCCCATGAGGATGTACATGGAAATATTTTTATAAAATACAGGATAAATAAGCCCATTAGAACCCTGTCAACACTAATCATGCTTCCACATACAAAATGCAAAGAGGCAATAAGGCTTAAATAATGCTTTTTGGATCAATTCTTTTAATTAATTCAATGGAACACTTTATTGAAACTAGTAATACTTTTATGTCCCTCACCAAACCAGTGGTGATTTTTAAACTGTATTTTACCAGCAATTTAAGGATTCTCTTTTGGAGTGTCTTAGCCTCAATATGGTTTCAAGTAGACAAGATCTGACAGGAGATCACAACTGGTCCTTGTATTTAGTATACAGAGATGGTACTAGCAAATGAGCTGTGCAATATAGCCAATGGGACAGAAACAAGATAAAGGAGAAAAGAAAACGGTACAAAAGCAATAACAACAACAGCAACAACAACGAAAACAACAAGATAAGAGCAACCATCAGAAATGCACAGGAATCCTGAGCATGTTACACAGTTTGTCTTTCTGGTGATGGACATTAATACTCCATTATAAAAACATAAGCCAAGTCAAGGGAGAAATTCCAGATCTGACTTGATGTCTAGGGAGAGCAGATCTTCAAAAATGTTTTAGGTAAACGATCTCATTAAAAACATCTTAGAACGTGATATTGCTAGTGCTTTGTATTAAGAACAACCAAAAGATATCTTACAAATGCTCTGTGGTCTACCTTTATAGCACTTCAATCAGTTTTCACCGTAGGCAAGTATAATCTTATACTCTTCTGTTACTAAGATTAAAAGTTATTAGGTTATAATATGGTTATCAGAAGAACCACCTTCTCAAATAAATTTCAAATTCCTTCAACTTTATTATTACATTAATTTAAAAGAGCTCATTTTAAACATTTATCTTTTGATTTGTTTTTTAATAAAGCATTGTGCTAGGTAATTTAAAGTCTCTTGTTTGTGACCTTTTAAAAATATCTAACCATAGTTTTCAAAATATATGCTCTGGCTATTAGTAGATATGAAGGAAATTTTAATAAATAATGTTACCGTATGTAACCTGTTTGAATTTTTAAAATTTTACAATATAATTGTTTTAATATAAACTTTGAACAGAGCCAATTTTTAAGAAGAATTTCCATTGCTGGTCTGTACTTTATGTATACCTTACTTTTTCACAGAGTATTTAATTTCTCTTCCCCAAGGAAAAAAAAATGGCACAAAAGAGTTAAAAATCATGGTAAAGCAATAAAGCACTGAAATCTTGATATTATTTAAAATAATATTTACAATTTAAAGAATGTCTGTTATATATTTTATATACATTATAGCATGACACATAATTACATATATAACACCTGATGACATAAACAGTATGACTTAACTTCATTTAACAACTTAGGACACTGAAGATTAGAAAAGTTAAGGAACACGCACTTAGAAGTGAGACCCAAGTCTATCAGTTTCCAAAGTACACTCCTCAAGCCCTATGCAAGTGAGATGTAGAAGAACATCTGATTTCCTTAACATGCTTATACCTGAGCTAATTTGTATTCTTCACATTTAAATAACCAGACTCTTGGAATATACATTAAAGGACCAAAAAGTTCTCAAACTGCAGAAAAATGGATCGCTTAATACATTTTCAAAAACAAATATTTTTTTCAAAGTGTTCATTTCCTTGGTGTTTTGTTATTTTTTGTTGTTGTTTGTTACTATTAGATACTTTGGCTCTCCTATAGAACTCAGTTTTTTCACTGACAAAATAAAATATGTAATCACTGAACATAAGTTTGGCCTATGTACTATTAAATCATGCAAATCTGAATGCTTTCTGAAATTGTGTCCCATTTATTAAACAATTGTAACACTCACACCATCAGTCCCACTTATATCCTTGCTCCACTTCCTCTATTCTATAAATTCTATATGAAGAAAAAAAATTGCCACAATGATATATTAAAGTATTTAAGAAACAGTTGAAATATCAGTAGGCCCTATAAAAGTTACTCATTATGCAAAGTTGAAAGCACTACATATTAGGCTTCTACCAGTGGCTTACTTCTGGAGCAATTTATCATCACTCTCCAGAGATTACTTACTCTAGAAAGCTGGTGATGTAGTCTCGACTGCACGCAGACCAGGAAAAAGGATTGGTATTCGCAGTAATGTGAGCTGCCATAAGTTTTGCTGCTTCATGACCTTTCGTCCCACAAGAATTTCCAATTCCATCATGGTTCATACCAAAACTGTTTTAATGAGGAAGAAACATAGAAAAAATAAATTTAAAAAAAAAAAACCAACACATCCCTTATTTCCTTGTTTGGCCATTTATTAGCCTTATCAACATATGCCTTCCATCAGGATAGGCCATATCCTCTAAAGAAATTTAGGATTAAAATTAAAGAGACTAAGGAATAAAGAATACTTCAGTGATACAACACATGTCTAAATCTCTTTAAATGTAGTCACATACTCTCACCTGTTATCACACGTTTCAATGTCTCCTTGAGCCGAATATATTACATATCAATTCTTACTTTATAAATTATAAAACAGATTTAGCAAAGATAAACAACCTGCTAAAGATCACACAGTTTGTCAGTGTTGGAACTGTTAGCAGAACCTACCTTTTAAGATGTTAGTGTTCATCCTACCTCACTATGCTGAATCCAAAAGAGAATTATAAGAAGATAGCTATGATCAGTTGAGTTTTAGGTTATAGGCCAAATACAGAAGTCCTTTTTCTTATTAATATTAATAAAAGATAATTTAACACACATGTAATTTGTAGTCGTTTGTATGTGTGTTTCAAAACGCCTTTTTGAAAACCATAGATATAGTTAAGGATTATGGTTTTTCTTTATTGTGGCCTCCTTCATTTTAAAAATATTTTGTCATTTTTTTCCTGTGTTATATAGCCATGCTTAGTGCTAACAATGTGATCTAAAAACACATTTTTACAATAAAAATGTTTTCCTGAAAAGGATATACCCACTACATACCCTATATGTGTGTGTGTGTTTATACAATGTATGTGTAATACAGATTACATATACGTTTTAACCTTTCTTCACAAGTAACCAGAAGTTTAGGTTGAATATTACTAAGAAAATAAATTTATGTGTCTGTTATGACATATATTCTAGTAAGTGCACCATGATATGTGTCCAAGAAAATGTCACTAGAGTATAAAATAGATGAGGATAGTTGCTGGAGAAAAAATCTGGAAAGGTAGTTGGGAATAGTTAAGTACAAGATAATTAATAAAAGTAAATATTAATATCAGTCCTCTTGGCAGCATAGAAACAGGGAAGATTTGTAAGTAAGAGCAACTGAAGATTTCTGAGTCAGGGAATATGGAATTGATCTGTCTATTAGACAAGTAATTATAGTAACTCCATGGTGGAGATACTGAAGTAGGAAGAGAATGGAGCCAGGGGAGTAGTCAGAAGATCATTACCAACTGAGAACTGATGTTGATCTGAACAAGGGTGCTGGATAAACAGGTAGAATTAGGTTTGAGACATGCTTAGGAAGCAGAATTAATTGACTTTCATAAGTACAACATTAAAAGAGTTATAATAAAGACATATAATATGTCCGCATAGGCCGGGCCCAGTGGCTCACACCTGTAATCCCAGCACTTTGTAGGGCTGAGGCGGGAGGATCATCTGAGGTCAGGAGCTCGAGACCAGTCTAGCCAACATGGTGAAACCCTCTACTAAAGATACAGAAAAAATTAGCCGGGGGTGGTGGTGCACACCTGTAGTTCCAGCTACTCAGGAGGCTGAGACATGAGAATCACTTGAACCCAGAAGGCAGAGGTTGCAGTGAGCTGAGATCGTACCACTATACCATAGCCAGGGTGACAGAGCAAGGCTCTGTCTCAAAAAAAAAAAATATA